CCCCCCCCCCCCCACTATCAGATATAGATTACTTGATCTCATGATCTTCAGTGCTTGACTTACTGGCACCAGAGTTTTTTCCGCACACGCAGCCTCACTCCATCGGTACATGTACTATCACAAATAAAGAATTGAAGGCAAGTAATGAATAATTGTTGATGTTATTTTTATTCAATTTTATTAATATTTTATTCATGGATCAGAAAAAATAGCCAAACTTTGATTTTTCGATACATGTATCAAGTACCAACACAATTTTCACGATACAAACATTAAAACTAATTTATCGACAAAGGCTGAGTGTTGATAAATAACAAAAAGTTAATTTCGACTTATCACAAACGTTGTAAAACCTTACACGATACGTTTCCAAAATTTCTCGTGACTTACAATTAATTTTCCTCGCATCCTCAATTTCAATGGCAACGCAATTATTTTTGATGCAGGTGTACACATTTTTGAATCATCTACGAATGCATGTGTATAAAAACCATTTCAATATTGTGGCAGTCAAAGTACTTTTATAGGCCCATGTATATTATAAAGTTCTTATGAAAGGGTGAATATTATTAGTGGTACTGTGGCAAAACTTGTAAAATTTAAATAAAAACTCGAAAATTAATGTTACCTAACTATTTTGAAAAGATTTATTTTCAATAAAACTATACAAATATTTTACATGTGCATTACGCCATGAGGGAAAAAAATATCAAGCAGATTTTTTTCATGAACTTTTTCTTATATTTCATACATTTTCAAAGAAATGCCGATGCTTTCTGTGAATCGGCTTTGCGATCAAAACTCAACTCCACATTTTTTCTTTCGTTATTATTATTTTTTTTTTTTTTAATCAACCAACGAAATTTTTTCAACCATCACTCAATGCTTTTATATTTTCTAAAAACATATTTATTTAAATATCTCACAAAAAACGTACCTTATTCAAAATTTACATTAAAATACCGGCCCGTCGTCGACATTCTCATCATCATCTTCATAATTCTCGCCATTATCAAAATAATTATTAACGTAATCTGTACCCTCATCCATATACTCATCACTATCTTCTTCAGCCTCATCTATTTTTTCATCATCATCCTTATCTTCTTCATTTTCATTTGCTTTTTCATTATCCTCGCTATCACTAGGAACTTCAGATTCTTTATCCTCCAACTCTTTAAGTTTGGCATTGACATCTACCTCTTTACGTTTTTTATTACTTCCACCAGACTTATTACCTTTTCTCTTGATCACTGGCTTTAACTCAGCTGGCATACGGGTCCAATCGTATCTAATGTCATACCTTTGTTTGATAGATTCTTTGTATCGGTCAGAATATCTTTCTATGTCTTTTTTTATAACTTTGGGTACAACATTGTTTGGAGACTCATGCATATGATCTACAAAGCCTTTTCTCAACTGCAGCAAATATCTGAGCTCTGTGGTCATTGTCATTGGAAGAGGTCTGTATTCAAGCATTGGATAATTTGGAGGAGGAACCAAAATAGGCAACGATGGCTCTATCTTCATTCCTGGTTCATTGCTCATAGGAAGTATTCCTCTGCCCCTTCCTCTGCCACGGCCAGCCATGGTAATTTCAATTATTCTGTAAAATTGGAAAATCAAAATACTTAATATTATATTTTTAAAATTTATTAAAACACTTAACCAACGAGTGAAGAGAGACTGTATACAATTGTAAAAGCGAACATCATTTCCATGAAATATACTTTCATGTTCATCTGATAGTAAAATCGACATTAACTTGATCATTTAATCGACGTTATTCATCGTTTGAAAAAAAGTAAAACAAAAAAAATAACGAAACAAACCAAAGCTTAAGGAAAACTATCAATAAAGAGGTTAGAACTGCAACTCACTTTACAAGTGCTGTTTGATGGTCTTCTTTTCGCTGATTTTGACTACCTCTTCGAATTTGGTGCACAAGCTATCCTTGTCGTAGGTGAGCTTGACACTAAGGTCACAAGATGAGCACTTGGCCTCGGTTTTTCCAACTAAAATATCCGACTTTTTAGCCAGATACCTGTCACTGCACGAACAAGGATAAGAGTAAACCTCAGCGTCCTCGTCGTACTCGAAGTCGTCCAAATCTTTTTCCTCTATCACCTCACCATATTTCTCCTTAAACTTGTCGACGTCGTAAATCACCTTAACTACAAGCGAACACGAGGGACATGTTGCTTCATCTTCACCGGCTACAAGTTCTTCTCTCGATATCTGAAACTGATCGCCGCAAGGGCACGGATAGTAGTACAGGCCGTCGTCCTCGTCGTACTCGAAATCCTCGAGCTCCACTTCGTCGTGATACGTCGTCATCACTTTTGTTTATAACTGAAGATACTTGCGATTTTCGATCAAATAAACTAAATAAAATAGGTTTGCAACAAAAATAGAGGGAATTAAAGAATTGCGTAAAGTATCGCAGACACGCGTCATATTACTTTTAACAGTTTTAACTACATAGCAGACTAGCACAGAGTAAGCAGAGTGCGAGCACGTGGTGCACGCTTTATCGGCTTCATTCAGAGAGTGATTTCAGCGCCAATAGGTGGTCGAATACGGTACCGACTTTACCGCGGGGAGGGAAATACGATCCATTTGAAAATCATAGAGAGAGAAGTGCTTGCAGACTTTTGCAGGGGTGAAAAACGTGTTTTCAAGTGCTTACATCTAAAATATCAATGAAGAGCATTGCATCGCTGCACGTATTCAGCTGCAAACGGATCCAAGATTGAGTTTTTTTTTATTCTTTGTTTTGGTTGCGTGTTCGCGACGGGTGCCGTCAGGCTGCGTATACACGGAGTCTTGAACTTCCATAGGACCAGCCATAAGCCCGTGTGAGTGCGAGTGAGAAGCAAGAACATATTACTCTCTTTCTCGCATTTACACGGGCAAAAATTACGTGTGGTATATCACACTGCCCCCCCCCCCCC